TTCCTGCAAATGGCTTGGGAGCCGAATCTGGGTTCACATCCCAGCCTCTCCATTATCAGATGGAGCAGCCTATAAATGTCTCCACTTTTTACCTCAGTTCCCTGTCAGTCACAGTGCAGGTGATTATTATAACATCTTCATGTGCTTGTTCTCGAGATTACACAGGTTCATTTACGAAATACTGTTCCAGTAGCCCAGTGCCAGAGTAAGGAAAAACCCACTCCCACACTCAGCCGCAAGAACATGAGCTGCTCAGCTGGACCCTCAAGGCAGCATTGTTTTCCAAGAATAGCAGTCTCAAAATCTACCTAGTGTCACCTCTAACTCCACGTCATTTTCAAAAGAAAATTCTCCACTTTATCAAAGATGATTCTTATTTTACATGTATCTTATCATCCATTTCACTGTGTAAGGTACACTGGATTTCGGGCAGGGGGCGCTCAGTGGTAGCAGCCTTGCATGGTTTGCACAAGGCATTGAGTTTGATTCCAAAACTAAAAAGAAATCAAAGTAATTAAAGGAAAGAAAACAGTTAGACTACATGTAAGAGAGATAGACCTCTTAAAAGTTTTAAATAGTGAAAGGTGACTATGGTTCTCATTTGTGGGTCTCTTTCTGGAAGTAAAAAGAATGAGAAGAAAGGCAGGAGTGGAGAGATTGGAAGCAGGCAGCCAGTTTAGGTGACCATGTCCAAGCTCTAGGAAGAGACTTCGCTATCTCAAAATAAAATGGAAAGCAAGAATGTGAGGGCCAGGCAGTAGGAAGTAGACACACAGAGGTGACATTGGTGGAAGTTTCAGTGAAGAATAAGTGAGGAAGTAAGAAAGACAGAAGAAATGAAGAGCGGCAAGTTTATGACTTTAGGATGTAGGTGTACAGGGCAAGTCATTCACAGAGGAGGAGCACAGGCAGGTGGAAATAGCAAACACTCCGGCTTCTAGAGGCGATATTTAGTAGTCAATTGGTTGAAAATATGTTTAGGAAAAGTGTGCATGCCTGTGTGTGTGTGTGTGTGTGTGTGTGTGTGTGTCTGTGTGTGCCATGAAGACAACACTGTAAAATGTGGCAAAAAAATGAAGCAAGGGCAAGTTAGATGCTGATATGGTGTAAGGATATTACCAATTTAGTGAGAGAAGTCTCATTAGTATGGGAGGAAAAGACTGGTCTTCTGGGATGAGAAGGAAAAGGAAGCAAAAACAAAAGGCCATAAGAAAGAGAACACAGATAATTACCTTCAAAAAAATACTTTGGCTCTGAAGAGAAAATAAGAAATAACTAGATTGAGAGGTAGGGTAAAAGAAGTTCAAAATACAGGAGCTGAAAGAGCTGGGGTGGAGACACTGGAGGTGCAGGGTGAGTGGAGCCCTTCACTGAGGGAATGCACTGTGAGAAAGCAGGAAAGGATGGGTTCAAAACACATGATGAGACATTAGCCATAGATGAAGGGCAGATTCCTCAGGCCAAAACGAAGCTAGTCTCCATGGGTAGGAATGGCCTAATATTTTGTTTAACCTTATCACATGATTGAGTTCAGTTTCCTGTATACTATCTACCCAATTTCCAATGGGTAAAACAGGAATTTTAAGCATGCAAGTGAATTTATTAATAAATATCAGAAATCATTATATACCAGAAATTAAATTAGAACAGAGAAGAAAGGGAGGATATAGAATATTTAGGAATGATTTTTTAGGCAAACTGGGACTTGAACATGGTGAAATTTAGGGAGTTGGAGAAAATAAATCATTGACTTTTTTTAGATAATGAGAAAGGTATACTTTGAATCATCCAAATCTAAGTGGTGTCCATTCACTAGTGTATACTAATGACCCATAGTCTTGACTTTTAATCTGCTTGCTTCCTGACTAGGATTGATTGCAGCTAGGAAAACAAATGTTTCTGGTGTTCTTTGTTCCTATCCAGATTCTGTTTAGCAAATGATGCCTTCAAAAATCTCCATCCATGGTATCTTTAATCAATTTTATAACTGTAAACTCTTCAAGAACATTTTTTGTGGTACAATGCATTAAACTGAGGGTCCTGTGCCTTCTAAGCAGGTATTACTGAGTTGCATCCCCAGTCCTCCTCTTTCACAGGGTAAGGATGTTTACAAAGTGAGGACCTTGGCCCTCTTCTGAACTGCTTAAATTTCTCCCTTCTAATTGCAGTACAATGCTGTCTCACCATTACTCAAACACAACTCAGCTCTGTTATAAAGGACCTCATACACTGTTTCAGGGGAAGTAAAAGTTTGCAAAGTGCACTAAATCCAGTCTATAGCCAGAGACTGTCTGCCTACCAAAAGGAGCCACCACAATTTGCAAATTTTGGAGGGTACAGAGTCATCCTATGTAGTTCAGGTTGTCTGGACTCACTATGTAGGCCAGGATGGCCTCAAATTTACAATGATCCTCCTGCTTCAGCCTCCTGAGTGTTAGGATTATAAGAGTGTGCCACCATACCTGGCTGCAACATGTTATCATGACTAAAATCTACCACAACCACTACCACTATCACTACCAGTATTACCCCAAATATTCTATCATTTTTGAAATGTTTAAATCACATCTGTTATTTAAAATTTGAGTTAAATCCAATCTTACTTTTATTGTGTCCCAAAGTGTGTGAATAATATGCACCTTCCCCTCGATGGCTAGGTTGTACTTCAGCTGAACATCGCATTTACATGGCCTACTTAGTGTTGGTTCCCACTGTATTTTTATTCTATTTTTTAAAGAATTGCAAACTCTGCTAAGATTTGAAAATGAAAAAATCTTCCACTAATCTTCCACTGATATTCTGTCCTCATGAGTTGCATCATTACCTGTCAGTAATAGATCTGACTGCCTCACTTTAGGAGGGGTCTACTTTCTATCAGTCTCCCCTACCACATGCACTCACTGAAATAGTTTATCTGGCTCCATGTATGACTAGCACAGATTCACTGATTGTTATTACTTCCTTGCCTTCTGTAAACACTTAAATTCGTATTTGTTTCTGTTGCTTTAAACAACTGTGGAGATCAACTTCCTTTGCTTTTATATTTTGAAGTTATTCTTGGTAATAAGCCTTGCATCATTCTGCTAAATACAAATTTCTCTTTCTTATTTGGAAAAGGTTGTTACTCCTAGAATGGTATTTATTTGTGTCACAAGGATATTAAATTGATACAGACCGGATGCACCAGGATGCATGAGCATTTGATGGGCAGATTTCAGAACCCCCAATTTTCAACGTGGGTTTTGTCTCCACTCTACTTCAGAAATTTGAGATTTGCTTTAAAATTTCTCATCTTGAAAAGAGTTTGGAATGTAAAGATAAAGTTGCTCTGTGCCTATGCAGCATTTATAGAAGTGCTTTCAACCTGGAAATAAACCATATTCTAGATCATTTGAGTATTTCTGGCCTCTACGTATAGTAGTTAAATTATAGATTTTAGATATTGTATTTCTTGACTTCTTTTTAAGTAAGGGAAAGTGTCCAGGTGATTATTTGATTTATTTACTAGCCAATTAATATTTTTTTCTCAAACTTTCAGGGGCTATTCTATATTTTAAAATTTAATTTTCCACATTTGTTACATAATAAGAAATGTCCAACACAGAAACATAGCTGAATGCATAGAAAATAAGCTGGCCTGCCGGAGACCACAGAGTACTTCAGGGACGATGATGAGAACTAAAATAGATGTTACCATTACCATTTTGAGCATTTAACACAGACCGTGTATCATATTCAGTGATTATATAATCCAATTTAATCCTTTCCAAGCTTTTATCAAATGTATCTTCATTTAAACATTGAGCACACTAAGCATAAGAAGTTATTTTCCCAAAGTAACACAGACAAGAGCTGGAACTCAGGATTCCAGAAGAAACCTGCTTACTGTTAAATCTATGTCCTTGAAGCACATGTTATATTACTGAGGAATGCCAACGATGTGTCTTGATTCCTGCCGCTGTTGCCTATGATATTACCTAATATCTCTCAGCCTTAGTTTCTATACTTGTAAACAGGAATAATGTCACTCATAAAAGTATTGCAAGAAAAAGTTTTTGTATTCCCCTATCTATCTATCTATCTATCTATCTATCTATCTATCTATCTACCTATCTACTTATCTGTCTAATCTACCATCTATCTTTTCATAGTGCTAGAGATTGAAGCAGGCTTCCTGCATGCTACATAAGCATTCTTTTACTGGACTATATCCCCAGCTCTATCTCCTTGTATATTGCTCCTTGTATATTTCTGAATTTATACATTCAGTGCCAGTTTCTTCCTACCCATTTTTACTCTCAGCAAAATGGTATAATCTCACCTCACAGTTGCAACACATTTTAAGAGGGGGGGGAATAATGGCTTACTCCTCTTTTTGTAAAATTGTAAAGAAGTAGGTGATAAATTCTTAATTTGCATAATTAACAAGGACACAGCCAGAATCATTAACTACCAAGATCTTTCAAAGGGAGACCAAAATGAAAAGGAACCATGAGCTATAAAAGAAAGATTTGTTCTTAGTTAAAAGGTGATAAGAAACATTGAAGTCTGATGAAAGCTGTTGGCAGGCAGCTGAAACAAGTCTTTGAGGGGGGCTCTGGAGACAGATTGGTGATGCCTACTTGAAGTTAGTTACTAAGATCACCAATTATTTCTGGGGAATGGAGGCTATAGTTAATGTCACTTTGGTGCTGCACTGGGCAGGTAGGGTGTTCCCAGCCACAATACGCAGCAGCAATTTTTGTAAACAGTCTGTGTTTCTGCAGGCACCTGAAGGGAAGATGTAGAATCCAATGGTATTTAGAGGTGGGCTGGGGGTTTCATAATTGGCATTCCAGGCTCACATGCCCTTCTGAGATCAAAGGCCTATTACACCCCTCCCTCCCCAGCCCCACTGCAACCAGCCCAAGTCATTTGTGAAAAGAGGATTCTCAACATGTGATTCCTACATTACCCACATTTTCTTTTCTTTTTTTTTTCCTTAAATTTATATTTTTCAGGACAAATGATACTGGCTTTCTTTCCTTCAAAGACCACTTGCCTGTCACGCAGATAGTTATCACCGATACCAACAGATCAAACTCAGAAGCTGCTTGGAGAATTGGTCCCTTGCGTTGCTATGGTGACAGTGAGTACTAAATGGAGGAAGCTCTCTCTGCATTACATGAGCACAAGATGTTTTTAAATCCCTTATCCCTTCTCCCTGCAGTGTCCCCTGGTCCTAAACATTATCTCCCTGCCCAGTGCTTTTCCATATCCCCTTGAAAGCCATGACCCGTACTTAAGGATTTTGTCATTTGCAGGACATTTCTGGAATGCCGTCTCATTTTATACAGAAGCCTCTTATCTCCATTTTCCTACCTTCCACGCGGAATTCAGTGCCGACATTTCCTTCTTTTTTAAAACCACCGCTTTATCTGGAGTTTTCCTAGAAAACCTTGGCATTAAAGACTTCATCCGACTTGAAATAAGCTGTGAGTGTCTCATTTATGAATGAATGTCAGTGGTCAACAGAAGATGTAGCCTTGTCTTAGCCACCAACCACTAGTGCAAGTTTGTACTGTCAGGTTAACCACAGTGGGCTTTGGCAAAAGCAGCCGTGATAATTTCTAGTTTTTCTGAGTGTGTTATGTCTAGTGATTCCTCTCAGTATGTATCATTCTAAAACTCCCATAGATCCTACTGTAGGGCCCATGGTCTGAGCCGTGAGCATTATTTTTTCCATAACTTTCATTTTGCACACCACAGGACCATGCTTGTTACAGAAAATAGAAGTGATGAATATAGTGCTCTGTTCATAAATCGGATCTGCTTTTGTTGTTGTTTCTGTGCTTCAAAAGTAATCTCATAACTTATCGCTAGCAACGAGGAAAGTGTGACTCTCCTATCAGATTCTCAAGGTTTCTGCACTTCTTCCCCATCGATGGTGGTACAGTCACAGGAATAGATTCCAGGATACACATTTCCTTGTACACACTGCATCCCCTATGTACAGATTAGACTTGCTAATAATCATAAAGTGAAAAAAACAATAAACATGTGGATGGTAAAATGTTCTACTTTTCAACACTTTGTATGTGTGATCATGCCAATACAAATGAATTCCAGTGCATAAAAATACAGTGGTTAATTAATTCATCTTTATGAAAAGGAAGAAAAAAAAAAATATATATATATATATATTTCAGTAATAATAACATTAAAGTCCCTGTCCCTAGCCCTTTATTTCTGCAAATTTGTTGTGGACTATCAAATTGATTTTCCATATATCTTCTTGTTTAGAAAAAGTATCAATCACGGTTTTCTTCTTTTATTTTGAGCAAAATTTTTTTATTAATTTTAAATTATATTTCTTTTCCAAATAAATCTATAGAGGTGTAAGTAGGAAAGAGTTTTAAAATAAGGCTGTTCAGTAAAGATTTCTAAACATTTTGTTTCACAATAAATTTCAGAAATTATGACACTTTCTTAAATATTAATTCTAGCATCATCCAAATATCTCTGCAATCAAAATAATTCCACAGAAGTTTTTCACTAGAAAATCATCACAGATTTCTGTTCTGTTTTGTAAAAATAAAGCTCTGAAAGATTAGGAATTGCTTAAGATTCCTGGGAATTCAGTGTTTGTCTCCAACCATCACAGAGGACACATCTATTCAGGCATTCAATAGTAAAGTCCATGTAAACAATGGTAGCACAGGAATTATATAACAGAAAAACTTGAAGCTGACTTCTAACTCTTGAAAATCAACATTTATTTAGGTCTACATGTGTAAGAGCCAACAGTATATCTGGAGTTGTCCCTATTCCCCTCAGACCACACAATTTACTAAATGGTAATTAATAACATGTACTGACCTGAAGTTTACATATACATGTTTAAAATGTAAGAACAATTTTAACATCTGCTAAAATGTAGACCAACAACAAAAGCTTTTGAGGGAGGAATGTTTTATTATTGGGATTTCTTTGAATAACTGGAGAGTGATGATGACGTGCTATTGCTTTGGGGTACTCTGTCCTTTGTGCACACATTATGGCTTATAAGTTGGGTGGCCTGCCCCTCCACCTTGCCTTTACTGTGCCCATGGGTGGCTGTGATGACTTGTGTTTGTCACTGGATGCCGCATCTCTCCATATCTAATCATTGTTTCCTGTGCTGGGTGTGAGGCAACTGACCACATCACAGCACTGATGTCAGTGCATGGAATATCCTCGAAAGGATAAACATTGTCTCAGCAACAGAAATTGGGAACATAGTTGAACTACTGTCTTCTACTGCTCTACAGAAAAGGACAGTTAATGATTACTTGTTTGATCAATCTTGTATATCTCTATTTGTTTTACTGAGAAAAAACTTTGACATTATCAGTAAGTAATACAACAACCATGGTTAATTTCCTACAACTTTGTCTGTAACTCTGTTTTGTTTGTACTATTCTTATGCTATTTTGTTAATGGATGTCTGTCTGTTAATATGTTTTCCTTCTTTTATTTTTTAAAAGAAAAAAAAAGAAATTGGGAATGTGAGAGATTCGTTAAAATAGAAAATGCTTTGGCTAGAGGAGGTATCGGAGGTGTTTGTGGGAGTCTCCAGCAAGTTGTCAAGCAGCTAAGTGCTTCTTTTGCAACTGAAGCCCAGTGCGCACAAGGAAACAGAGCTTTTTAATTGGTAGTTTTAACCTCCTTTTACTCCAAGGAGTTGAACTACAAAGGGGAGAAAATGTGTGTGGTTCTGATATGAAATAAAATCCCTCCTGCCTAACTTGGCCAGGCTCAGAAAATGTGGAGTTGAGTGCTAACCACTTTATAATATGGGTAAAATGACCTCAAAGTAAATTTAATCAAAGTCGAGCCCTATGGCCTTTTGACTCATTAAAGCCATGCCAGATGTCATGGTATATTACCACCAGATAATTAGCCGTGATTTAGTGTTAATTACCTATCAATGTCCAACTTGTTTATTACTTGTGGTAGTGTATTTTGCCCTTTGGGTTGCACACATTCTTTTAAATGTTAAATTGGTGGTAAATTTACAACAGATTAAAAATCATTGCTATAACTGTGTGGGATATACTTCATCACTGGATTAAGGAGTACTACATAAACCAATACATTTTTGCATGAGAAATAGTTAAGTTGCAGAACTTCATGATTCCTAAATTTATCATTATGCTTATTAATATTTGGAAGGCAGCATGTCAGACTTGGGGGACATCTTTCATTTCTTATTTACAGCTACACTTCCACGATGAATTTTTGGCAGATAGAATTTATACCTGGAGAATTTATAGCAGGAAACCCCTATAGGCCAGCTACATAGAAAAGAGAAGTCCTTCCAACAGATGCAGTGGCTCAGAATGGACTTCTTTCCTGTCCCCAAGGAGTGTTCCTTTCCAACCATCTGAATACCAGCTTCCAAGGTTGATATACCAAATTGTTGGACAGGGAACAGCAGGTCTCCATGAAATTTTCAATCCATTTCCTTTTGGGTCACTTCCAGTGGAGACTCTTGAGTTGTATTGCCTTGGGATTAGTCTGCCTGCTAGGAAAAAAAGACAGTTCACCATTCTCTAGAGTCTTAGTGAATGTGATTCAGATGGGGTTGTGAAAAAAAAAATTAGTTTTGTTGGCAGTGATCTCTGTTGCAAGTAGAGATAGATAATAAGGACTTGTTGAGGAAAAGCAGGAAGGAATGGTCTGCCAGAGTCACCATGGCAACATGGAAAGAGCCTGGGTTGTAGAACCCAGTGTGCATTCAGGTGTATGCTCCTGGAGCTGATTTATGAGCCACATTAGAAATTTTATCACCTCCGTAGTAATTGTTTACGCAGCATGGAGTTGGTTACCCTCAGATACCAACCAGGTATACGTAGCTGCAATTAACAGAGAACTCACTGTGAAGCGGCAGATACAGGGAAGGGAATCCACTGGAACTGGGATACATGAAGAAGGCCAGATATAGGGCCGGCTGTATTTCTGAAAATTCAGCAATATAACACAAAGTATTAGTGGTCTGAATGACTTCTTTCTCTGCTCTGATATCTGAATATTTACTTTGGTCTAAGGCTAGCTGTGCCTTATGCGAGAGCTATGTCTTTGCCTAGTTGATCATTTCCATCCTGTGACCCAACAATCCTGAAAAGCAGCTCACCTGACAAGGAAAGAAAAGATCGATTGTAGAGTGTTTATGCTAGGCCCACCTTTCTGTCTGGGCATAGAGTCAGCTTCACCTAAACCCCAGCACAAAAGCAAAAACATTCTGGGTGTGTTAATGAGGCGGTGGTGGTGAGGAGATCAACAATGACTCTTCCGAGGTGCATTTTAGGATAGAAATGCATAACTTATTTGAAAAATCCCTGAAAATAGGAAAAGAACTAGTAAGTAGTTATTTATTTTTCGTGACATAGGAGTGTTTAGCAGTTGTAATCCTAGCACTGTTTGTGACCTAATGAAAGATATATTTCTATCATATTCTCTAAGTGATTGAGATTTAATTTTCTCATTTTTATGGCTGGTTTCTAATAATATCAGTTCAACTGGGCTCTATAATTCATTTCAATGTAAATTAAATAAAAACAACAGAATTTTCTTGAGTTGCTTAGTGAGAAAAAGCAAACACACACACAAGCACACTCAGAGTTACATTTTAGAATGCAAATGTGTTATATTGAGAATATGACCACATGTGGTATGATTTTGACTATGCTGCAGTCAGAACCACAGAAAATAGTACACATTAATACTACTAGTAAAATTCACTGGATTGTTGAGTAGTTACTAAGACTAGACACTCTGCTGAATTCTTTACATTAATTCATTCTGTTTGCAGACAGTCCTGTCTCTGACTATGACAGTAGTGCACCATGCATTGTTGCCCAATTCATGTCCAATCAGCAGATGAGGAACATAAACCCACAGACAACAAGCCTGCAGTTAATTGACTGTGGAAGACTGGAGCCCAGGATGCAACTCTACATCTCTGCTCTTTTGTGAGGTCCCTTACCAAATTTTGCAAAACTCTTTAAGGAATATAGAATGTTAAGAGAAAACAGAATTATTTACTTCCAGATGTTGAAGCCCAGGGCATTCAGGAAGTGTCTACAATTTTGCCCAAAACTATGTGTGTGAAAGACGAGAATCACAGTATCCTCAGAATCTCAAAGAATCTGTGTGTTCAAAAAGTGTAACCATTTTTTATTTAGCTTCTGTTTCTCATTTTGAGATGACTACATGTACAACGCTAATTGGCTACATTAGAGACTCGTACCCTCTTTGTCCATAAAAGGACCTTGAAGGCAAGCAATGAACTCATAGTTCCACTCCCATGAAGCTTAGGGCTGAGAGACAGAAAGAGAAAGAACATCAAGTGGGTGCTAAGGGAGTCCTGTATGGGGCACACTGGTCCACATATTTTGTGGCCAGGCAGTGGGAGAGCACCACACTGGAGCCTCTCTCCCATCCTCGCATCCCACAGTAGATGTTCTCTCAGAGGCTCCCATGCTCTGCTTTGCCAAGCTTCTCAGCAGTCAGCTGTGAGCTCATCCAAGTTCGGTCATCTTCAATTATCAGTGCCCAGCAGATGGCTGCAGAGAAACCCATCCAAAGGCCGTGGTGATGCCTTAGATTTAATTTTGACCATAAAGGAGTGAATAGTGAGAGAAGGCATCTGTTAGACACTTCAAGGTTCAGAAGCCAGAGGCCAAGTTCATGTGATAGCTAGTGCTGTTTTATAGCCTCCCCTGTTCCCACCATGGTCCTATGGGTGATGTTTGCCCCTCTGGCCACTGAGAGCTCATGTTCACTTCAGTGTCCTGCTGCAAGGCCGCTAGCTGTGCACTCGCTCACTGCTTCTCATTGAGATGTTCTCAGGTATCTGTAACTGCGTTCCAGGTTTTCACTGCTCTGCAAGACTGCGCAGGTTTTGAGGTTGAAAGTTTTGCCTTGGGGACTGGGAACTGTAGTTTTAGAATCAGATCTGGGGCCACACCACCTCCATTCAGATTCTGACTCCACTGCACAACCCGGTTCACAACCTGGACCTCTGATCTCTGAAGTAGCATCTGTCTCCTACGACTGCGGTGAAGCTTAAGTGAGTTAATTCATAAAAATGCTAAGCAGGTGCCCGGCTTATGGTAAATACTCAATAACTAGTACCTATCGCTGTTGAATATTCTTTTTCTAAAATTTATTTATTTATCTTCTTATTTTAAAGAGAATAGTAAAAAAGAGAACACTAGCAAAATACCAACAACATAGACAAAAACAAAAGAAAACAAAGACAATAAAATTATACAGGGTTTCAGAACAAAATGATAGGAATTAACTGTGGCTGTTATATTACATATTGTTATTTTCACCGAAGTTGCTCAGATTACCAGATGTAAGAATGCAAGATTGGTCAAACTATTAAAGAGAATAAAAAGTAAAAACCAAAAAAATTAGAAATGATGCAGAGTTTCATGGGACAAGATGGCAGGAATCCACCAATGGATTTTCTGATTCTCCTTCAGATCAAGAAGGAATGGCTTTAACACTGTTACATGAATAAAGGTAAATTATAACTTTTCAGAAATGGCTTTCTAAAGATTTAAAACATTTGGCTAAAAACTGCCAAAAACATTTCAAAACTGCATTTCATATGTGCAATCGGACAATGTTTTAATGAATAAAATTTTGATTTAAGGGTAGCATTTGGTGCTGAGTGCTAGGTCCACAATAAGTGAAGAGCTCCTCTGCAGTTTGCAAAAGGCCGAGGGGGAGACAGGCAGTTGACGATCATTGTACAAGAGGGGGACAAGTGGTATAGCTGTGCTAAGCACAGACAGGAAACCTACAGTGAAGGCAGGCCTGGGGCAGCCACAGAGTGTGGCAGGCCCTCTATGAAGATGTGCTGGCAGAGTGGAATTTACCATCCACAAGGCTATCATTGCAAGAAGGTTTTAGCAAGATCTTTAATATCTCTCCCCAAATTCTCAGCAAGATTTACCCTTCATTCTTTGCAGCAAAACAGATGTGAAGAGCAGGCATCACTGAGACATTTTAGTTTGAGACGAGCAGGACTAAAGGATGGCTTTGGGAGTCTGAATAAGGTGCTTTGTAAGTCATAGCCAGAGAAATGGAGTGAAAAACTATGGACTTCAGCAATGACAGTAGTAATTGTCACGTCTTGTGCACATACGATGTGCCAGGCACAGTTCTAAGAACTTCATGAGGATTAAAATATAAACAACCTGATGATTGGCATAGTGCAATGAAAACTTGCTTAGGAAAGGGTGACTCTAGAATTCCAATTTTCAGGCTCCAGTTTGCTGCTTCTCTTTAAGGTCTTCTAATTAAAAGAAGCAATTCAAATTCATGTCTCTTGAATTTCTCCTTATAGGTACTTCCTCTACTAGGGATAGCTTTCTGTTAGTGCTCAATGGTTGAACAGGCTACGACCCAGGGTGATGTTTGATTTCTGGCATCTCTTTAACTTGTACTGGCAATTGATTATGATGTTAAATGAGGACTTATTTCCTAATTTAGGGAGTAAAGGAAGGGGGACAGTGACATAAGGTACAGAGAGGCCAGGGAAGCTCTTGCACATGAAAATAGCAGTTACTCACAAAAGACTGTCTTCTTCAAACTCACTTTATATTAACTCGATGCTTATTTTAGATTTAGAAAATTCTTGCATAACAATGCAAAATGTAAGGCAATATGTTCAAAAGGGCAAACAAGTGAGAAATTCTACCTATGGAGTCAGAGTCTACTTACTGTCTGGGAAAATTGGAGGAAACTTTTCATACTTGTCTGAATTTCTCGCACCCATAAAGTAAGGATAATGATGTCTTTCACATAGGATGGTTTTACAGACTAAAATGAGAGAATATATATATTAGTCAGCTTTCTCATTGCTTGGACAAAATACCCGACACCTGCCACTGAGAAGATGAAATGTGGATTTGGCTTCTGATTGCTCAGTTCATGGTTGGTTGAAGGCACAGCGAATGGAGGAACTAGTGTACATCAGAATGGGAATGAGGACGTCCTTCTAAATCCCGGTAGCACTGAGGTCACTAGTAATAGTAACGACCACTGAATACTGGAGGTGTACATGTTCTGTGCACAATTAGTGGATCCTTAATTTGACTTTTTTGTTTTGTTTTGTTTTCCGGTACCGGGAATCAAACTCACACCTTGCACTTGCCAGGCAGGTGCTGTGCTGCTGAGCTAAATCCCCAGCCCCGGATCCTTAATTTGAACATTCAGAAACAGGGAAAGGACTTGGGCCCCCAAAGCAAACATGGCAGAAGGATATGTGGAGGAAAGCTGCCATGCAGGGCTGCCGGGAAACAGAAAACGGAGAAGATGGGGACGAGCACGCACTCCTGTAGGTCACTGTCCAGTACCTCCTTTCCTCCAGCTGGGCCCTGCTTCCTAACATGACTTTCAGGTGTAAACTCATCAATGGATTCATCTAGTGATGGTTATAGAATCCCCATGGCCCAGCCACCTCCCAAATGCCCTACCTCTGAACACATAAGACATTTTAGGTCAAAACCGTAACATGATAGTTTGTGTTTATCATGAAGGCTAATAATCAAGTTAGTTTTACCTACTATGATGTAACTTCCATTTTGTTCATTAATAATTTACAGCTACTACTGTCATTACTGACATCACCATTTTCACCACCACCACTACCAGTGATGCTATCACTGTGACTACTGTCATCACCACAATCACCAACACAAACTTTATCACCACCGCAGTCATCATCCACCATCTGCCTCCACCATGATCACAATCACCGTCGTCATCACCACCCCCACTATTATGAATGTCACCTCTACTACCATACCCTCCACCATCATTATTTCATCAGAAAAAGTATTATCACTTTTGTCTACAATCTGGCTTCTATGATATCCAAATTGTTTAGAAAGAGGGAGAGTCCCAGAAGGTATGATGTTACCTCAAGAGGCTCAATTTGCAGCAAAGTCTGCTTGGAGAAGGCAATTAAATTTTCTCCACCTCATTTTGCTTTTTAGTCATGGGAATAATATGGAGGATTATATCACGTGAATTCATCATGGAGGAAGGCAGTGGACTTCCCAGCCTACAAGGCTCCTTCCTGCATAAGAGGAGCTGCTTGCTAACCCTATGTCTACAGAAATACAGCAGTCCACAGCTGAACCAGAGAAGATCTGGGAAACTTAGAGCCAATGCACACAGGAGTGTTTAATCAGGCATAGGGGCCCAGATCCTTCTCCTATTTCTGTGTTCAAATTAAGGATCCACTAAGGGTGTGCAGAACATGTATATCTCCAGTATTCAGTGGCTGTTACTATTACTAGTGACTTCAGTGCTGCAGTGATTTAGAAGGACGTCTTCATGCCCATAATGACTTAGACTAGTTCCTCCATTTATTCCTTGTGCCCTTAACACACCAGTGGCTGCCTTCATCCTTCTTCCTGTTTCTCTGTTTGGTTCCAGCTCCTTCCGAGATCACCTTTGCCATCGATGTTGGGAATGGCCCTGTGGAGCTCATCGTCCAGTCTCCTTCTCCTCTAAATGACAACCAATGGCATTATGTCCGTGCTGAGAGGAGCCTTAAGGAAACCTCACTCCAGGTGGACAACCTTCCAAGGAGCACCAGGGAGACCTCAGAGGAGGGCCACTTCCGCCTGCAACTGAACAGCCAGCTGTTTGTAGGTATGGGATGTTTGAAGACATACTTTGTATTAAAATCCCTATAAGGCCACTCAGTGACCAGGCCCCAGGACAATGGCTTTTATTTTAGAGCTGAGAAATGATTAACATAGGTCATTATTTACAATCACAGATATCATTCTGCAAATTGTTCCTTTTGGGCTTCATTAGCCATAGCTGCAAATTATATGTTACCCCGTATTAAATTTTGGACTGGTTCCTGACTGTACATATTCTTTTTATATATATTGTCTTCAAATGTCTAGGGAAAGTTCATTTTTCATCATTACAATAAAAAATCTCCTCTTAAGAAGAGGAGATATCGGGGCTGGGGATTTAGCTCAGCAGCAAAAGCACCTGCCTGGCAAGTGCAAGGTCGTGAGTTCGGTTCCCGGTACCGGAGAAAAACCAAAAAAAAAGAAGAGGAGATATCAACTGGTTACACCAGTAACTACTTGGAGTAGATTCCTTGTCAGTGGGCCACCTTACCAGTGATGCCTGACCCCTGGTGACCACTTATCACAGTGTTATGAAATAGTAGAAACCCCTCAAAGGAATTTCTGATGTCAGCAATATGGTTGGGGGAAGGACTACTTATTTTAAGACTAGGGGGTTTCTTTGATTATACAGTGTCACTTAAGTAACTACTCTTGCATATACAGAAAGTAGTAGCCCTGATGCCTGGATAGACATCTCTTTGCTGGTCTTTCCCTCCCTGCAATTGAGAATCACCTGAACCACACTGTTCATGTGAACCAGTAGCTTGTCCCCATAATGGGACAGGAAGAACTCTGACCTCATTCCTGTGTCTGTCCTTTCCTTCATCCCATCCATGCTGATTAAGCATCTGCACTGGTCAGGCAGCCTTGCTTGGTTGAGAGGATTGGAAGATGAATTGAGAGATGTTACTTTTTCAAGAAGCTTATGGTCAGGTGTGTGTTTGTGTGTGTGTGTGCACACATGTGCTTGTGCTCACATGTGAGAGAGAATTTCAGACACACTAGGCCAGATGATTTACTGGACTGATGCAAGAACATTCTTACAGTTGTAATTTTGGATAATGCGCAGGGGGGAACTAGAAAGTTTTAATTTCAAAACAGAGCTTTAAATTAATCAGAGATATTGTACCAGTTGAAAGCTAAAAATATGCTCCTGTATAACTCTTGGAATTACAGAATTACAGAGCAGGGATATAAATAAGTGACAGAATTTGACAATCTGCTGGAACTTGACTTTTCTCTTCTCTGCTTCTCCTGTCCTCTCTTATCCTCTCCTTTCCTTTTTCTTTTTTCTCTCCTTCCCTTTCTTTCCTTCACATTCCCTTATCTTCCATTTTCTTATCTTTTTTTGAGATAAGATTTCACTAAGTTGCCCAGGCTAGATTCAAACTTGTGATTCTCCTGCTTTAGTTTTCGTGAGTGCAGTATTACTCCCAGCTTACAAATGGTTTTCATAGTAATTAAAACCCATCCTCACTAAAAGCACGTGCTGTATTTGCTTCTTATAAGCTCAGAATAAATTCTTCAACTTTTAAAAGTTAACTGAGAAAATCATCACATAATAGAGGTAATATTCATTCATAATCCTTCTCTCCTTTGTTGTGTTTCCCATGCCCAACAAAAGTTAAGATATAAATTTCTAAAATATTTTTGAGATTTTAGTACATTTACTTAATTGACAACTCATGAAATTGATACTGTTTACTATTAAAATACATTTTAAATATATATATTATTTTAATTCTACTTAAATCTCACATTTTCTCTGAGGAAGTTTGCTGGTCATCCTTAACACAAATTTTTTGTGGAATCAAGTAATCTTTTGCAATTTTCATAAATTATATTCCATGTTAAATTTGAATTTATTTTCATGCAGTATTAATGAAGTTTTAGGTGGTGGGAGATATAAAGTCAGAATAATTATTTTATCCTTTCATGCAAATTTTATGTAGCTATGAGATTATCACGTGGATTCAATATGTGACAAATTTTGTGCAAGTCAAAAGAGAAGGCAGGCAACTGTGCTTGTGGTGAGATTTATTTCTAAACATTTCTGTTAAGTTGATCACAAATGCCATGAGCTGCAGGGCACACTGACAGGTCTGGAGATGCTGCCTCGTGGAGCAGGAAGCAAGGTCAGAGCGGAGAGAGCACCTGCGCTTGTTGTATCTCTCTCCGATAAGTCCAGTCTCAGATGTTACTCTCCTTTATTGGATTTGTCTTAATGTACTTGGAGATAAAAGCATACCGTTGGAGGTCATATGAGTCTGTTGGTTTAAATTACATTGTTGAGTGCTTGGTGTGATATATGTATTTTTAAATGTCAGGGCCAAAATCAAAGAAAACACCTGAATTCCTAACATTTCTATTTTGTATAGTTCAGCTCTTCAGTAAATAAAAATAAATAAATAAATAAATAAGCTCTACACAGTCATAACAGTCCAAATGAAGAACTGCGGTCTCCATTATTCAGAAACTTAGAGATGCTGGATATTAATGTTTGCTAGGCAGGAAGAGATATTGTTGCTGTGTGCTAGGATAAGCAGAGTGTCACATAAATATTAATTTGGATATGTCCGCCTAGTTATCTTTGGCCACGGAAGGAACACTCAGTCCAAACAGGCTGTCATTCAGCGTTGTAATTATCGGACAACTGCTGGGGTGATGAGCGCTCGCTCAGGATCAGACACAGGCTGTATTGTGAGATACAATGTGGCTCTCAGCACTGCCCTTGGTATTGAAGCATTGTGACAGGCTGAGATGCGGATACATGAGTCAATGTATGCTGGATTCCCAAAATCAATACTTTAATTTCAGGCTGTTTTATCATCATGTTAGGTACATTTGCATCCATAGCATTTCATAAGCTGAATTGGTTTAGCACAGTGGGAAAATTTTCCCAATGTGGACCTTCTGAAATGTATGAGCTGAAGTTCCCTGCTGTCTACTACAGATGATAACCAGGGCTAGCAACTCATCTTGCCAGACTGATCTTTCCAGACTTAAGATCTGCTACCTGCACACATTGGGAGTGACAGCCATGCTTCTTTTTATGCTCAGGTGTAGATAACAGTGTGGAAAGTGTCTCATTCTTTATAAATTTGGTATAAAATCTTTCCAAGCATACTGCAAGTATAGAAGGAAATTTGTGAAAATGTGTGTGTCTGAGTCCTGTTTAATGACTTTACTTCCTTCTTCTCCTTTTTGTTCCATGGACCAATTTTTCCCCTCCAGCTCAACTGTTCTACTGGTGTTAAAATAAACTGAATTGATGCCAAACTTACAATCTCTTGAGAAAATACTATAACAACTTGATAAATAGTAAAAGTTTAAAAGTTTCCAAAAATGCAGCTTCTGTTTTTAGGAGGGTAGAGAATTACTAATCTCTGATGTCCATGATGTCCCTGATGAAGGTATGGAGAATGTAGAGCGCATGATAATTTTGTTCTGGGGCACATCATGACCTCATGGTCTGTGGCATGACCAGCCTCATAGATGAATGCCTGCCTGCTGTGCACAGACTAGTAACTTACTTTTGACTTCATGAATGTCTCCTGAGGACGGCTGTCTTGATGCAAGTAGCAGAGTCTCCCATTGGAGAGGACATGATGTTCTTCACTGTGTTCTGTTAACATTGGGAAATAACGACAGCATCACTTCTTATTATGCCAGTGGTGAAGCAAAGAGTGAAGCAGTGCTGGGGATATAGCTCAGCAGCACAAGCTCTTGCCTGGCAAGGACGAGGTCCTGAGTTTGATTCCCAGTATAAAAAAAAAAATTAAATAAAACAAAAGAGTGAAGCGGTATTTGTCTTTTCAGCATTTTATCAGTTTCTGAGTATTATAATTGGACAAAAAGTAATTGTTTTAAAAGTAACATAATGTCAAATATAACAGAATCGTATTTCTCAAAAAAAGACATGTGACTTCAGTTGTCCTCTATAATAATTATATAAGGGAACTTGTTCTAATTAGTTTAAGAGCTTGGTAAAAAAAAAAAGAGAGAGAGAGAGAGACATGTCCCATGAGAACTTCAGTTAGTTGCTGCATAAAAAAAAAAAATCCTAAAAATGTATACAATAGTATACAATAGTACTCAATAAATTCTTCACTAATATGGGGAAACTAAAATTGTTGGCAGTTTTACATGGCAGAATAGTGGTCATGAGGTTCTGGGGAGAGAGAAAGACAGACAAGTCAGTTAAAGGATACATAATTGCATGTATCTTTTTATGACCGGGGTCTCTCTGTGTAGTTCAGACGGGCCTTAAACTCACTATGTAGCCCAGGTTGCTTTAGAACTCACAGCAGTCTTCCTGCCTCAGCCTTCTGAGGGATGAGATTACAGGTGTGCACCACTACACTTCACCATAATTACATTTAGATTAGAGGAATATATTCTGTGGAACAATAGGGTGCCTGTAGTTAGGAAATAATGTTTCGTATATTTTACATTAGCTAGAAAAGCAGAATTTGAATGTTATCAACACAAGACAATAAAAAAAATTTGAGGTGCTAGAAATGCTAGTTTCCCTGATTTGATATTATGTATGGTCTATATTTATCAAAATATCATAGCATTCCCCATAGATATGTACTGATTTTATAAACCAATGAAAGCATTTAAAATGTTTCTTCAACTAAAAGTAATGAAGAACCACCCAGCTGTCCTTTTAATACCTACCTCCTAACACAACTGTATCATAAAATTAAATTCTTATAGCTTGTAGTCTTCAAAGACTATTGGTAATATTTTTACATTCAAGGAAGTGAGTGATCAAATCATGTTTCTGTGAAAAATTATTTCTTAAAATTTGAGAATTGCATGTATTTAATGCAGCTTAATAGACAATTTTAGTCAGTCTTGTCCCTTAATGTTCAAACAAAAATTTGGAAATGTTTAGCTAAAACCTGTTCTATTGTATTTGAAGCTCGTTTCAGTAGGTTCCATTGTGTAATGGTTAGTACTCTGGACTCTGAAGCTTGTTTTATTATATACATCTCT